AACATATGGACTCGCAAAACGGCTGTTTTGGCGTCTCAAATTTCAGACCGCTTATTCGCGCACCATGGTCCATTCATTAACACAATCCCCGGAGAAACGTAAAGAAGGAAGTCTCCTGCTGAGTTATGTTATGATTTCCTTTGATGTCACGTTCCTTTTTAATTCTATACCCAAGGATCCCACAGTTAACACCGTCGAACTACTCCTACGAAGCAAATACGATGTAAGATAGAGTCGTCTTGGACATGCCCACATCCTACAGCTTTTGGGTTTCTCTTTCAGGAAGTACTTCGTGTTTGACAGAACGATTTACGAACATCTGAAGAAAACACTGATAGGTTCACCGATTTCGGTCCTCATCGCCGAGGCAGCCACACAAAGGGTTAAGGTCGTTAGTTTTCCACCACCACAGGCCGAAATTCTGGGTGCAGTATGTGAATGTCACCTTCGTCGTCATCGAACAGGACCATGTGCTCACGTTCAAAGAATTCGTAGCGTAAAGCCGTGGTTTTGCTTGTATCACTACGATCATCATATGGAATTCTAGGCTGTAACTAAAAGGCAGAAGTCACCAGAGGAAGGGATTTATTGTCCACAGAACTCTGACTTGCAGTCTCAGCTAGGACTGATGTTGACTGCGTCCAGTCGTGCCCGACCGTGTTTAAATGTGCGTGGTTGGAAATGACAGCTGCTTTAACACGACTGTCCGGTGAGTCAAAGTGGTGTGTGAATTTGTGTTGCATCGCTTGAAGTGGGTGTTGATTATTGGGGCCCCCACTGCACAGTCTGAGGGGTGGCGCATTCAAGCGGCCCTTAGGAAGCCGCGACTGATGGTCACATGTGTGTAGTGGTCGCTGCCTGCCCAACGCCTGGCCTTTCTGTCGTGACCTCAATTACTGTAGACATCAAGTTCGTGGCGGCCGCCAGACTTGAAGGCGCGCGAGACACGGCCGCCCACACGCTGTCCAAGCAATCACAGGCCGACCCAACCAATGAATACTCTCTCTCTGTCTACTGGCCTGACTGCTGTCAAACCAGCACTTTGACTCGACTGGCTCTCCTGGCCAGTTAGATGCTCTCCAAGTCAAATCTCTTCCCATTCATCCTTTGTTCCTCTTGGTACACAATATACCGTTTCTCCTATTCTGGTCTTTCCAAGACTTCTTCCCTACTAAGTAACCACGGTCCGAAGATCGCAGTTGCCCGGGTTTAACTGAATTAACCCCCTGCGATACGTGTGTGTGCGAGTCTAGGTTCCTGAGGTCTGAAAATTGGAAACAACCACCTACGAAGGCACAGGATGTTGATGCAGCGGACGTTGAAAGCTGGATTGCACTCTTGGCCGTCCACCACAAACCTCAGAACAGCGTCTTCCTGGGCATGCAATTTACGATGGAGGAGGAAGAAAACAACCAGTTGGTTTTCCTGGATGTCCCCGTCTACCACAAAGAATGTGATGGCCTAAAGACCAAAGTGTTGAGGAAAGCGAAAATCACGAGTACTGAGTATCAACAGAAACCACGCGCAAACACAGTGGTGTAAGGACGCTTTTATGGTATGTTGAGACACACCGCAGTGAAACAGAAGGCAAACTTGCCGAAATATAATATCTTTGACGGGTATTCAGGGAAAAGGGCTGCCCGCACAACTCCTTGAACCGGCGCATGCGCAAACAAGATGGGCAAAAAATCGCGCCGGCCCAAATCTTGGTGAGCTAGCCCATACGTTATAAACGTCTTGAAGGCCGTCGACCACCTTTTAGCGACACTTGTAGTTAGGTTCGCACACAGGCTGGAGGCCACCATAACGTTTCAGATATTAAAAACACGCCCAGCAACATTTGGAGTCGTCTATAGGATCTGGTGCAATTGCGGACAAAGCAACTAAGTCGGAGAAATTGGAAGACATCTCAAAACACAAATTGCCGAACACACAATCGCCTTGCAGAGAAATGATGCCGTTTCTCAAGTTGCATCTCATTCGACGAGGCCCGGCCACTCATTCAAATCTGATAATGCCAAAATGTTTGCGAGAGGTGACAATCGTGTACGTCGCGAAGCATTCAATCAACGTTCACGGGCCTCCAGTATATAAACGAGCGCAATGACCTGTCCAATCCATATCTTGTGCTCAAGCTCAATTTGGCCAAAGCAAGTCGCGACTTGGGGAAGGGACAGGGGAACCAGATAGCCGAGCAATCATCACGTCTAATTCCACCTAGTGAGCTGAAATTTTAGGTGATCACGGCGCGCACGCCGGCCATTAAGCAATTAGCGCACAAGTGGGCAATTATCTTCGATAGAGGAATCTTTAATTGTCGTAAGCCTGCAGTATCATAGTGACTGTATCCTATAAAACTGGAACTCCCTGTGCATAACTTTCCCCTTACTGTTATTGGTTCTGCTTAGGCCTCTGATGAAGAGCTCGCTACGGATTTCGAAATGTCAGGCGAATAAAATCCTTTTCATAGCGATCACATCATTTTCTTCTTCCAAATTAACTTTTTTTCTGAGGAAGCTTATAGTGCGGCAAACATGCTGTCCACATTTATTTTGCAAATGATACACTTTTTTAACATAAAAGTTTCAATTTTATTTTTCTTCATGCCACAAATTTAAACGAACTGTAAATTTTTTGAAAACTAACTAATTTTCACACATACCGATACTAGTTAAATTCATTTTAAAGGTCTCCCGCCAGCTACTCCATATATAATAATTTAGATCGTAAAAAGGAAACTGGTTACGCTATTGCAGAATGTACACGCACTTAGCGAAATGTTGTGGTAGTGGAGTAGTGTTACGGAGGACGGAGACAGGATAGATTCGCAAACAAATAGGGGACAGAACGTCCCCACGCACAGCATATGGCTAAAGCTGGTTCCGCAATGAGCTCATGCAATCAGCTACCCAATCCCCGTGCGCCA